GAAATTGAACGCCCAAGACCCGTTGCTGCAGTGTGCTTTCAAACCCCAAGAGATTTGGGAGCTCATGTGTAAGATCATGAGCATGTGGCAGAAGGGCGAGGTCAAAGGCCGAAAACTGACGCCGGCTGTGAGGAGTTTCTTGAAAGCGGACCAGGATCTGGAAACGAGCGAGTCCGAGGGCGCGAAGAAAAGCCAGCGTGGGAAGAGGCTTGATAGGGCGGCTGCGAAGGAACAAGAAATGCCGCTTCTTTATCCACGGGTGCAACTGCAGGGTAACAAGGTCCCCAAGGTCGCCGAGGACATGCCAGCGCAACACTGGATAGCCATGGGTAGTATGGCTCCAAAGAACGCCGTCCCTATCCTCCTTGAGGTCATTGCGAGGCAGATCTCGCTCAAGGAGATGGAGAAGAAGTTCCAACTTGTCAAGCAAATCGCCTACGCCCGCAAGGCATTCACAGTGGGGGTGGGCGCTGCTGACTTCAAGGACGCCGAGAAGGAGTATCCTCTCCACACAAAGAAAGAGATTTTGAAGAAGTTCGTTGGTGGCATCAGAAGGGGTCAGACGAGTATCCCCGCACTGGATGGCCATATTAAATGGGCCATTGAATGGAAGAACAAGGAGAGGAGACTGCAAGCGAAAAACGCTATTCACACGTTCCGTACGAAACCTCTCGTGGAACGGTTCGTTGAGTGGACGGAGGTGATACACGACAACGACTCGACGGAAGTGAAAATTATCAATGGCGACGTGCGCTTGTTGTCGAAGCTGCAGACAGAAAAGCTGCCGATATCTCTGGCTATTTTCGACTTCCCTTACGGGTTCGCGCACGAGGGCCATACATCTGATAATGAGCCGTTTCCAGAGTCAGACGTTGTGGAGGTTCTTCACAATTTGAAGGACGTTTTCAGTGCCCCGTTGTGGACAGTTGCGGGATTCTGTTCCGTGGACATGCTTCCTTCCATCCGTTCCACTTTCTGGGAGGCTTGCAATGCAGGGCAGGAGCTTTTGACGTGGTGCAAGCCTAATGTGATGAATCCGGGTGGGCCGCGGCTTGTGAGTGCGACCGAATTCTGCGTGCTCGGCTACTACAGTGAGAGTGGGCAGCGCGAGATGGCGCATTACAATTTTGATCCCACTGATATGCGTCACAATTTCCAGCTCTTCAATGCTATGACGCAGAAGTACCAGCACCCTGGTGGCGGTGTTCTTTGCCCGTACCAGAAGTCGTATACTTTGTACTCCTGGCTTGTGAACAAATTCTCTCCCGCAGGGGCCTGCGTTCTGGATGGTTTCTCCGGTTCCGGCACAGGCGCCATAGCGTGCGTCAAGGCAAATCGGAATTGCCTTGTGGTTGAGATAAACACTAAGTGCGCTAAGGGCATCGCCACGAGGCTTCTGACACACATCGGCGGCACACTTGCGTGCGAAACGCCAAAGCGGAAAGAAAAGGTCGCACAAGGCAGCACGACCTCTAATGTGTCTGGGGATACGAAGTCTGTCGGAAATGAACTCGTGCCCGACGAAAACACGGGCACTGCTGCAGGAGTGACGGACATCGCTGAGGCTGTCGTTGTCGGGCCGTCAGGTGCGAGTTTGCCCACTGCCGAGGCTGCTGCCGGCCCGCGGTGTGGAGCAAACTGTTACCGGTGCTGAGCCCGCTTTCGTTGTGTCTCTTCCCGGTGAGGGTAGACCCGTGCCTGCTTCCATGCCTGAGCCCAGCGTTGTTCCTGAAGCTTGATCAGAGGCTGAGCCGCAACCTGCGTCCGGGCCTGTTCCCGCTGCTGCAAATGCTCAGCAGAGTGTCTTGAGCCTCGCCATGAGCCAGGAATCGAGCAGGACTACGGCTGGCGGCAGGAAGGGGCGCAAACGAAAGGCAGGCGGTGAAGAGGTGTCGAGTCCGCATGGTGGGGTAGCGATTGCCTTCAAGGCCAATACTCGCTCACGGACTGCGAAGTGACTGAGGCCACACCGTATCCCTTGGATATAGGCCTATATGTCATGTGGGGACACGCACTTTCGATATAGGCCTATATTGCATGTGTGGCCTCAAACCACACATGCAATTTAGGCCTACATTGCATGTGTGGACACGCGCTTTGCATATAGGCCTATATTGCATGTGTGGCCTCAAGTCGCTTTCGTGTTCTGCCGACTCTCCCGTCTCGATCGCTTCTTCTCCTTCCGCTTGTTCTTTTCACCATGAGTAGCCTCAAACCAAGGATCGCCCGCGACAATGACAAAAGGTCCAGTGTGGATTCATGTGGTTTGTGGTCTTGGAGTTGTCATTCGTTGATGTCGAATAACAATTTGCTTGGTGCGTTTCGGTCAAAGAGCCGAAGCAGGATCGATAACGGTCCATGTAGCAAGGATTGCGCCTCTCGCAATTGGTGCGAGAAGAGAAACCAAGCCGTATTCGTACACGAGACTCCCCTGGTGTGTGCTGCTTTGTCCGCATCCCTCCCGGGATTGATCGCCATCCCTGCGTTGTCGGAATGTGTGCTGCTTTGCCTGGATGCCTCTCCCAGGATTGGTCGTCGTCCCTTCGTGGTTGGAGCTATGTGGTTTGGCACATGGCTTCGTTTTCCGCAGAATTGTGATTGTGTAGAGTAGGCTAGCTTTCTGTTTTTTAGGTCGTGGAAGTGGGAACCAGGCACACTCGGTTCGTGGTTCGGACCGCAGTAGGTCGTCAATTTTGAGAGTGCCATCATTACTGGGAACCATGTGTTCCGCTGTGTATTGTAACCATTTAGAGGAAGGAGGGCACATGGCTTCGTTTTTTTGCAGAATTGTTACTGTGTAGAGTAGGCTAGCTCTTTCCCTTTTAGGTCGTGGAAGTGGGAACCACGCGCACTCGGTTCGTGGGTCAGACTGCAATAGGTCGACAATTTTGAGAGTGTCATCATTACTGGGAACCATGTGTTCCGGTGTACTGGGAACCATGTGTTCCGGTGTACTAGGAACCATGCGTTCCGTTGACAATTTTGAGAGTGTCATCATTACTGTGAACGAGGCCTAGGGAGGTCCACCCAAGGGCACTCGCCATAGGTGTGGTAGTTTTTGGTGCATTGTGGTATTTTAGTTTACACGTGGAGTGACTTAGTGGACCATCTCTGGTTTACTTCTTTTGTCGGATTTGGTTTAGTTCTTCTGTCGGACTTTTCTCTTTTTCTAAAGGTTAATTTTGATAACCCTCTATTTTTTATTCTAAAGGCTGTTTCTCATAACCCTCTCATTTTCGTTCGTGAGTTCTTGTTCATTTACCTCTGGGTGGACAACCACTCTCTCTCTCTCTCTCTCTCTCTCTCTCTCTCTCTCTCTCTCTCTCTCTCTCTCTCTCTCTC